CGTTAAAAGAACACTATAGCGCATTTCCCTTCTTGTTTTGATAATAAAATATTAACAAAAAAATATATTATTATTACCAAAATAAAGGAACAGCAATATTGTTGAAATTAGAAAAAAATCACAGAAGATATTTAAATGAAATAATAATTTAACGATTTATAATAATTCAATTTTTCAATGAAAATTTAATGCTTTAATTTTGTATAATACTATATTTTTGAAAAATAAAAAATAATTGAAAAAAATTTTAATCTTAAAGTGTTAAAAACAAATCTAAAATAACAATTCAACTTAAAAAATAATAATATCTTAATAACTATAATGATATTTAATAATAAGTGTAATAAAAAAGAGTTTAAGACATAATGATGTAAAAAGAGAGAAATGTTGTATTACTCATACAAGATGTTAATATAGTATATTTGTGGAACACTTTTGGACACTAAGAATCAATTTTAGAGATCAAGATAAACATAAAAATTAGTATATAAAATTAATTAAAAAACCTATAAACTTAAAAGTAATTTAAATTTTCAAATGAAGCGAATAGTAGAACATCTCTATCTTCATCACACAATTGTCTTCTTGTTATCTCACTTTATCTAATGTAAACTTATTTAAATTTATATAATATAATTTAATAAATAAGCCTAAACTAATATTTTTCTATATTATAATTTTTGTGATTTTAAATCTCTCAAGAATGTTCTATGAATATATTATATATGAACATCCTATATATGAATTTTACTGTTACAAAAAAGCAGAGCTTGCGTTTGACATGCATTGTCAGAAAATTTTGCGTTCATCCATATAATCTAGATTGTCATATAAAATTATTCAAATCTTATAATTCTGTTTCACTTTGATAAACATGAAAAATGAAATTGTACACTAACTCTAGTTCAAGAAGTATTTAAAATATAGTAATTAAAATGGTATTTATTAATAAAAATTATAAAATTTCTAGAAAACCTAGGACGAAATATCATAGTTTAGTTTATTCTTGTGATAAAATCAAAATTAGTCTATGCCTTAAACTTTGTTCTTTAATTAAAACATTGGTCTCTTTAATTAAAATATTTCAAAGTCACATTAAGTATAAATTATTAAATGGCAAGTATCACGAATCTATTTTTTCACTATCAATATTTCTAATAATAAAATTAAAATCCATGCAAATTTAACAAAATTTTAATTATTATTATTACATATGAAAGTATTTAGCTTTAATTTCAATAAGTTAATAATGTCACGACATTAAGTTAACTTCTTTAATAATTTAATTACGTTAAAATGAAAAAATTCACACAAATATATATGAAGATGGTATTCAATTAACGATCCACCATTCAAAGACAGATGTACAATCATGCAGCAAAAAGTCATTTGTCTGCATTGAGCTTTATCCTCTGGGCAATAAACTATTGCATCTTCTAATCTTTTTTCTATTTTGCTGCTATGTACATATATTACAATCAACGTTTTAGTCATAAATATTACGTAAAAAGAAAGGATATAGAAGAGATGGTAAAAAGATAGTAAAAAAAAAGTGAAAAAAAAATTTACAATTTCCTTTGATCAACATAATAGCATATTTAGTTTTTTTATATTATCAATATTTTGGGAAATTTGAAATTTTTTAATTTTTTAATATTATATTATAATATTATATTATATTAAAATTATTTTGTTATATTTATTATATTATAAAAATATAATAATATTATATTTTTTTTTATATTATCATATGAAAGTTTAAGATGATTTTATCGCAATAATTTTTAAAATCCTACAAGATCAAAAATTAAAAAAACATTAAGAAAACAATATTTTATATCAATATGTTTTTAAATATTTTTTTGTTTTTTTTTTAGATTAATACATTCGATGTTACTTATTATTATTATTGATTGTTAAAGCTATTTATTTTCGTTTCTAATATTTAATGTTAATATATGAATATTTTTTCTGAAAACATTAATAAAAAATAATTTATAACAGGAGAAATATATGCACACAAATAATAATGAAACAAAAAATAGATCATATCAAATATATTAAATATAAAAAAAAATATTTATAAAATATATTAATATAAGATGTTTAAAATATTTTATTAATTTTTAACCTTAACAAAATCTTAAAAATCATTACGTCAATAATGTCATTTATAGTGGATTTTCATATAATATAAAGAATAGAAATCTATTTAAAAAATTAGAAAACAGATTCACTTTCTCGAAAATATTATAGATATAAAAAAAAAATATACATTATTATGTTGATTGTAGAAAACTCTAAAACTGTTTCTTCTACTGTTTTTTTATATTTTAACTTTTTAACTTTTTATTATTTACAAAAAAAAAAAGACTAATTGAACAATAGCGTGAATACCATAAATATCGTACTTTCAAGATTTAATGTAAACTTAAACTGGCTTAGATTATATTAAATAATAAATAATAACAATAATTATAATTGTTTTACAATTTTATAATACTTTTTTATTAGAGAAAATTTCATCTACACCAAAGAAACATTACATCATAATGTTAAAATCGTTTAAACTCGATATTAACGTAGTCATTTCAATTCATATCAATTCAAAAAATAATCTATAATAAAGATTTGTCTTTCCATGAATCCATGCTTTAATTAATTCGAGTAAAAAAATGTTGTTACCAAAAAGTAAATATATATATAACCTATATACCCAATACGAATAATACGAATCCAATATCGTTTACAATTTATAAATTGTTGGATAGTTATGTAATATTATTAAAATTTATAAATAGTAATAAATTACAGATTATTATTGAAATATTTCTTTGTTAATGTCTTTTTAATAAATAATGAGGAACAATTAATTATAATGACTAATCTTCTGAAGATTGAATAGAATGATTTCTATAATACATTAGAATTTAGATTTTAGGACTGTATAATTATTATAATATTACAGAATCAATAATATTTCTGTTAATATCTCGGAAACTAAAGTTAAAGAGATACATGTATAGAAAAAAATTATTCAAAATGTGACTTTGATAACATATTTCGAAGTTAAAATTGAAGAGATAAATCCTTTTCTATACAGCGTATTCCAAGTTTTAAAACATTGTTAGTATATTCTACAGGTTTAAATAAGAAAATAATATTACATAAATATAATGTTTATGTAACATCAGTTTACAACATTTAGATCTTTATTAAAAAGTTATGACAAAAATATGAAATACCAAGATTCAGTTGCAAACAGTAGCAAATACATGGTTACTGAGATCAGAAATATTTATCTTTAGTCTGCTTGTGCGAGCTGAAATGAAGCAAAATAGAAATGAAATTCGCAAGGTAATAAATTCTATTTTCGGCCCCATATTGTCAAGAACGATGCTGGACGATTTTGAAACGGAGAGTTAGATAGCTTTGCAACAAAGTTAACATATAATATTACTGATCTGTTCTTATACATAGTATATTACAGTAATCGTGAATCTATTTTTATATTTCATATTTTTGTTATAAATATATTTTTATTTTTACATATTTTTTTAAATAAATTTAACGATTTATTTAGATTTAAAAATTTTTTTTTATTTAAATTCAAAAAATATACTTTTGACAGCGTTTTATCATTAAAATTTGAAATATCATATAATCATTGTTTTCATTAACTATTTTTGCTAAATGCACACTTTATATTTCTTCAATAAGTTCTTCAATAAGCACTTAATAAATAAGAATTCTTCAATAGAAAAATAATAGTTTTTTTTAATGGAATTAAATAATTACTATTTAGTTTTATTTACCTTCTCTCCCCCTCCCCCAAAAAACTATAAATATTTAGTTTAGTAATTTTTTCCAAGTCTGACACTATGTCACTATAAATTATTTTATGTAAAGAACTTTAACGAAAACAATTTCTTGAAATCAAGAAAATTCAAGAATCTAATATATACACTTTTTATCATTTTATTATGAATGCGCAAAATCTTCCATTTACCTTAACAACCGCATGATATAACGTGAGACCAATATCAATCTATCTCTTGTATATTCGATTTTTTAAAGAGAAGTATTGATATTTATTTGGTGTAAATAAATCTTCGGCTGACCAAACCAATATCGATATTCCTCTTTGAAAGAATCATATGTGAGAGATACATAGTTTTGATATATGCTTCATATTGCGTCGTTACTGTTAAAAGATGATCACAACATCCTGATTGATTTCTTGTTTTGATGATGAAATGAGACTCTTAAAAAAAATTTGGAACAATTTTGTCAAAATTGGGAAAGGTCATTAAACAGACAATTAGCAAAACAATAATAAAAAATAATAAAATAATAATATAATAAACAATTAATAATAAATATTATTTAACAATAACGATTCTATTTTACATTACAAAAATGAATAATTTTTGTAAAGAAAATATTAATGGGACATGAAATGGTATATTTTTTATTTTTAATAAAAAAAATTCGAAAAGAAATTTGAAACATAATATAATTTTCGAGATATTTGTATATTAAAATATAAATTCTAAAATTAATATGGAGAAATAGAAGTTAATTTCAGATTATAGAAAAAGAAATTATAAATACAAGATAATTTCAAATTTTTATTTATTTTTTTAATTTATTTAATTTATAATCTGATTTAACAATTTCATATCTATATAATTTCAAATCAATATTTCTTTGAATTTTCTTTTATTTAAAAAAATTACAGATATATTTAAATATATTAATAAAAAAATTCTTCTAATAAAACTCTCGATTTTCATAAAAAATCTCAAATTTTAGTTTCCACTTAATAAATATCAAAATTACACATATATTACGACATATGTTCAATATTAGATTACATTATTCAATTACATGGATACATGCATATTTTCAGTTTTATTTAGTCTTCTATACACATAAGAAAATTAGTACACGATGATCTCGTGCTCACGCTATATAAAGTACACAAAGTATAGTGAATTGTCATATACTATATCGTTATCTTAATACAATTCTAAGCAGCGAATATAGTCAAGTTACTCCATCTATCTAGTAGATCCCTTATCACGACTTTCTTCTTGCTTGCTCCAATGATTGGCTTTCAAATCATCATCATCGTCTTGAGAAAAGGAGAGTTCTTTCCTCCATTTAGCGGGTTAACTATCCGATAATGCCGAGTGACGGCCCTTCGGTAATCGTAATTGGTGCTCCGGAAAGTGGAGCCATTCGACGTCACGGACGGTTGCTCAACAAGAATCGTCGAAAATCTTACGAACGGAGGAAAATAGGGTCTTTTAGTGAGTTTCTTGAGCTTACAGTGGGTACTTCTGAGGTGCTTCTTATGGTTGTGGGATTCGAATCTATAAGATTTTTGATAGGTATTTTCTTTTGTAGCCATTTTGAATGATGAAGCTAGAAATTAAATATTACGTGTCTAAATGTGTATTATTTATGAATAAAAGCAAGGAAATGGATGAAAAAAATTAAATAAGATAATAATAATAAACGTTAAAATTCCTATAATTTGATTCTAAATTTCATTTTCATGATTAATGTGTTATATAATAATCATGTAAAATATCTGTAAAAAATTTTTGTATTTAACTTTTAATCTTTTAATTATATTGCTATTTGGTATTTATATTTTTTTAAATGTAGATGTGTACATAACATATTCACATGTTATCCAATAATTATTATTATAAAATCGGTATAAGTGAATAGGCATCTGTCTATAAATAAACTTTTAATTGAAAAATATAATATGGATTTAAATTCTGCCTCCTTTTTGATTCCAAACATTGTGATTTTATATATCCTCTCAATTTTTATTTAATAGACATAGAAATCTTACTATACTAATTTTTATTTTATTATCTTTGAATATTATATATGAATATTTAATTAAATTTTCTATATTGAATGTAATTATATGGATTATTTTTATAATAATCAGTAAAATAATTTTTCTAGATTTATTGTGTATAAATTATCAATATAAAAATATTAGTTATTTAAGAAAAAAGAAAGTCTGAAGTATTTTTCTCCAAATATTTAATTTTTAAAAGAATCCATACATTTAAAAGTTATAAAATGTCTAAAGGTAGAAATAAGAATAGTAAAAAATTCAAAAATTGTTTTATATCTTATCTGAAATTATTATATTATATATGAAGTTGTTTAAAAATTTTTATCTTTTTTGATTAAAATCATAAAGTGCAAAGAAAGATGTGTCAATCTTCATTTAAAATTGAGCTAATATTTAAAACACGTATGAATAAACTTATTACAAATACTTAATTCAAATAATTGATACATCAGTTTATTTTTTGTCCGATATTATCATAAATCAATATCAATTTTAAAATTATTGATTATTTCCTTATTATTTCAAAATAATAAACGTTATTAATATCAAATAACTAAGACATAAGAAATTTAGTATAAGATTTATATGCATTAATTTTTCCAAATAAAAGAAAAAAAGTGAATAGAAATCATCAATAATCCCAAATATCGTCATAAAATAATTTCTTTAAAATTCAAAATTACCGTAAAACGTGGAAACACAATTTTAATGGTAAGCAAAAAGCGAATAATAATTGTCAGTGTTCTTTTAATCGACTACAATTTCGAAGAAATTAGTTAATTGACATCTCTCGTAAAAATACCATTCACCGTATCAGAGCAGTAATCGGCGAAATCTCGTTTCACCCCCGCGACGTAACATCTGCCGGGAAGAAATAATTTGAATTATTCGTTTCCGTTGAGGCGCACAAATTCCAACTGCGAGGACAGGGTGTGGAGGAAGGACCACTTAATAAAGAGCCGGTGACAGCGTGACAGTAAAGTAACAACGTTTGCTGGAATTTAAAATTAGATTCATAAAAATTATATTAATAGATTCTCGTGCCAGGAGAGTGACGCTCATGGCAAATGAGGCAAATTCGATTTGACACGCGGCCGTTCCACAGTGGTCTGAAAAGCAGCCTTTTAAGACTAAAATTCAAAATATTTTTATTTCACTTTCTTTGAATAAAAATTAATTTTTATGGTAAAATTCGATTACACATATTTGGAAATAATGTTTAAAAATATGTAAAAAGATTGTTTTAATCTAATTCGTATTAATAAATTAATTATAAGATATATAATAAAATTGATGGAAGAAAATAACTGAAAAATATAAATATTAGTTATTATAATTCTATAATTTTAAATTATTTGTCTAAAAATAAATAATGCTTCTTCATTGTCTTTATTATTGAAGAACATTTTTGAATTACTATTTAATCTAATTAAATTATTTAATAAAAATAGATTTAAAATTCTTAAAGCTGCATTATATATGTTAATCTATTAAAAAATATTTGTAACTTATTATAATTACTGAAATATATACTTATCTATTATAAATAATGATATAATACAAGTTCGAATTTTTATATACCATAACAATCATGATTTGGTCTTTATAATTATTATATTTTTCACATAAAACTATTCCAAAGAATTAACGTGTTTCAAATCATTGAAGGTTAATTTCTAAAAAATTAAATTTTTTTTTTTTTGAGATTGTTAAAGCTGAAAAATTGAATTTTGTTCGCATTCTTTTCAACGATGCCTTTCCCTCTTTTTTTCTCATTCTATCCTTCTCAAGACTTCTTTCGCGTGGCTCAGTATGCTCGTCTTCACTCACGCTCGAGAGAGACACGTCTTGTCTGTGGTCGACAGAGAAGATGTGAAAGGAACCTGACCCGCGACGCTGCTGGGGTGAATTATGCAAATGCGACAATAACCGAATGTCAATCAGGAAGAAAGTTAAATTCCACAGATACTGGATTGGCTGCCGGTTCTACCAGGCCAAGTCTTTCCTTCTGGGAAAGTTAAAGGCAATGATGGCCGCGGGGGCAGAATGACGAGCGACACGCCGCTCTTTCGAACGTAATTTAAACTTCCTCAAGATTCTATCGTCAGAGATTAAAATGATTCGTTCCTTCTTGCCACCGACTTTGTTCTCGCTCAATGGGAGATTTGTTTGCGACAGTGTTTCAAATGCTTCAAGCTTAAGGTGTAAATTATTCTTGGATATACATACGTATGTGGAATTTTCATTGATTTTTCTCGATTTCAAATGAATTCATGGTGTGATTGGTATATACGTATTTTTATTATGTGTATATTAATAATTAATATTAATATAAATATAAATAAAAATTGGGTTAGATACAAAATTATATTAATGTTTTATATATATTATATAAATATTAAAATAAGACAATTAAATAAGACAAGAAAAAAATATTTTTATATTCAATATTTTCTATCTTCTATCACGTTTATTACATGATACAATAATTTTACTCAAGCTTTATCATTTCAATTATTAACTATGAATGTCCACAATATATATTTGTTTAATCCTCAGTTTTCTGTATATATTATATTCTATGTATATTAATATTAATATAATATATATCATATTATGTATTACAAAATATCCATCGTTTATAATTATAAGACGTGAAAAGTTACAAATTAATTTTCAACAATTATTAATTTATAATTAAAAGTTCAAATAAAAGGGAAATGACGCCGAATTAATTTAATTTAATGATTGAAGAATTTAATTATGGGTAAAAGAATTTCTAATAATTTTATTCTTTGTGCTAATTATAGCTATAGATTTAATAGAATAATTAATTTTTAATTTATCAAATTAATAAATCAATAAAGGTATATAATAAACTACTAAAGATGATACAAAACCAACTGAGACTTAATATAATAATTATATCCATCTTATTTATTTTTATATGAAGAAAATATTAAAAATAATTTGGAAATATTATTTTATAAATTTAAAGAATACAAGTTTGAATTATAAGATATAATTACTTATACTATAATATAAAGTTGTTTTATGTCTGGAACATATCTAACCGATTTCTAACATCGTTTTGAGAATGCAAGCATAAAAGAATGATTTATGACAGTTGTTGAATATATAGAAATTTAATAAATATAATAATATAATTAACTTTATAAAATAAATAAATTTTGAAAATATTTAATCCTTTTAACATAAATTCTCAATGTATCAAAATTTTTGAATATAAATTAAAGTATAATTCATTATAAAATTAACATTGAAGGATATAGAAAGAATTTTAGTTGTATTTGCATGAATGTATGATTAAAAGATATCAATTATGAATTAAATTAAATGATTACGTTATTCTAAAAATCTGTAATTGTAATAATTGTCAATAAAATATAAAGTATAAAAGTAAATAATATTACATACAAATTGATAATAGAATTAAAATAGATGTAAGTGAATATGTCATAATGTAGTTACAAAATAAATATACAATAATTTTATTATAGGAATATTCACCATATTTGAGATGATAATTAAATATCATATTCAATACATGCCCATTTATGCCATTTCTCTTCTATTTGATCCTAGAATTTTTATATAACCATATATATATAACCATCTTTTTCCAATCTTCAAATTTCTAAAACATTCTTTTTATGATTGGATTCAATGATTCGTTCAGTGATTTTGTCTTTATCCCCTTTATAGTCACGAAATATCATTTTTGTCTTATAGTCGCAACAATGTTTGCCAAAAAACAATATAGTAGTGATACCTCAGTCGCATTCACCCGACATAGCATGTGTGACTTTTTCCTGTTTTAAACATGAAGAGAACCATGAAAGGATGACGTTTCCCGATCATACAGGAGATAAAAGCAAAATCGCTGAACGAGCTAAAGGCTATATCAATGCGTTTTAGAAGTATTTTGAGGATTGGAAAAAACATTGAACATTGTTCATATTAAATTTTATTTGAATAACTTTTGGAATACAATTTTATTCGTAGGATCTTTGAACAAATATTAAATAAAATGGAATATTGTTCAAATTATTAAAAATAAATTTATACGACAGTCTAAATTTCTTCTACTAATAATGTTAATACCATAATCTAATAGACAAATAAAACGTTTATTAATTTCAAAATAATTTATTTGTAAGAATCATATCACTAATAATACAAAAAGAAGATTTATTGAAAATATTATTAGATCGTTTATAATTGAGATTTTTTTTTTGAAAAAATAATATAAATAAACATCTCTTATAATTTTCTTCGTTTGTTTTTTATATTTATGTAATTATTTTTTAATTATTTAATATATTAACATTATATTTTCTTAAATTTGTATGCGTTTACACTTTATATAAACAATCACTATTGTATTATTACATTTTTCTGAATTAATTTGAAAAATTATTTAAAATAATAGTATTTTAATATAAAGAATAAAAAGAATACCGGACGAAAAACTTGTAAAAAGCAAAATGTTGAAAGATATAAAATACGTAATTGAAATTATTTGCTTGGAAAATTGAAAACTTTTCTTTGCTGAATTTTTAACAGAAGCTAATTTCTTTCTACATTCGAATCTAGGATTTCTTCGACAATATAAATGTTCATATACAAACTTTGAGTATTAAATATTTATTGAGTTTGTATATGTAATTTGTATACATCATATAAGCAATATTTATATTGTATTATCCTGAGAAAAAGATCTAAAACTAATATTTTTATCTAAAATTAAAATTCAATTATAAAATTCAATAGTAAAAAGTAATAAAATTCAGCTATAAATACAGGAAAAAATAATACGCGAAATATTTGTTTATGATATCGTACAATATCTATAATCTAAGATAATCTTTACAACAAAATTTCTATCATAAAGAAAAAGAAAGAGAATAAAATAAAAAATTCAATTATATTATATTTTTTTAAATATAATAATAATAATATAAAAATATAAATGTACAATATATAATAAAATATATTTAAAAAAGAAAGAATAAATTATAATAAAATGACATATTAAATACAAAAATGAACAAAAATTTCAAAAGTAAAATTAACTTAATCAATTTTTTATTTTTTTATTTTCATAATTAATACTAATAGTTTCTATTTGGATATTTTATTATTTTAATAAACAACTTTAATTTTCTTTCTTCAATTAAAAGAAACATTATATTCACAAAAAATTGTAATATTTTAATATTTTAATCGCTTTTCAAACTCTTCTACTGCGAGATTCAATATTTACTTAAATTCACAATTGCAAAAAATAATACAAAAAATTAAAATATAAGAAAAAAAATAATATATATCTTATTATATTTTACTGTACTGTAAAAACCTAAGAATAAATTTAAAAATATAATGATTGGTTTAGCTTGATTTGATTTTGACTTTTCCAACATTCAATTATTATATAAAATAAATTATTATATTGAGTTATGATACCAACTATACTAATTTTCTCTATTATTTTCAATATGGGAATCTATGTAGCATTTTTAATTGCAAAACTAAAATAAAAAAATATTATGTGAAATTTTTGGAGAAAATTTAAAAATTTTTTTTAACGAAACTGTTTTTTATACAAACATATTTTTCTTATAAATGTAAATGCAATATAAATATACTTTTTTATCTTGATTATTAATAATCTTGTAATGACATTTATATGCTAATACTGTTTAATTCAAAAATTTATTCATCGCGATTTTATTTTGAGTAACGAATGAAGGTTTCAAAATTCATCCACTAATAATAAATAACAACCTTATTCAGAAAATTATTCGTTTATCACGAATTCGTTATTCGCAAATAAATTTTTGGGATTTCATTTGTTATTATTTTTTTTTTTCCTCCCGTTATTCCAATAAAACTTGCCTAAATTTTGATACCGGCAAATGTTATATCCGATAAAGATTACTTTCATTGAAAGAGGTTATACAATAAATATTGATACAGTTAGTAAATAGTAATAAATATTCTTCTAAAATAAATAATAAATTTTTGAAACTTTTTGACCAAATTTGATATACATGCGTACAAATAAATGGAGCTTTGAAAAAAAAGTATATAATTTTTTTTTTTCTCGAATGTATTTGCAGATCGCTCGAATGATCACATCTTCTTCGATAGGAAAAAGAAGAGATGTTAAAGAAAAACACAATAATGATTTACAATACGATGAATACACAATTTGAAATATAACATTCATATAAGATAAGATTACGAATCATTCACTAAATGTTTTGCTTGGACATTGATACATAGATTTGGTTTTACAGTATTTAAATCAGCTACAAATAACCTTCGTAAACAGAGCAGAAATTAAGTCAATTAATATGAAGGTAGAGTTGCTCCGGTTGAGAATCAGATGGATTAAAGGGGTAATTTAAACTTCGTTCAAACGAATTTCATTCCAGTTCTTAACTCCGGGAATAAAAAGAAACTGTACCGCTTTTAGAACGACCGGCAGGCTTCGCAATTTCAGTTTTTAATGGAAACGCGATAACTCAAACAGCTTTTACATAAGTACAAAATTGCCGCAATCGAAAATATTCCAAAAGTTCAACTTTTATCAAAAGAAACGGTCAAAGCAAAAACTTTAAATTCTTGTAAATGTATAGAAAGAAATTCTTTAAAATATATAAACGATAATCCTTTTATCTCTAATTCTAAACTTGACTAGTGTCGATATAGTGTCTTTTTATATGTACATAAGGGCGTATATATTCCAATATTTTTGAGGATTTTAAAAGATTTTAAAAGATATTTTAAAAGATAAAATAAATATAGAAATTAAATATAGAAATGAATAAAAATAATGACTTATTTATTAAGTTATAAATAATTTAAAAGTAAGATGGCTCTATTTCCTAGTTCATAAATAAATAAATAATATTTCGACCAATATTTTTGTATACTTTTATCTTTGTTTTGTCCTCTAAGAAATGTAAATCAAAGATTTTATGAATATATTAACACTTTATACGTATTAAAATATTATTTTTAATATTTTATATCATATTTTACGTTTACTAAATAATGTTGTGTTAAAATTTATTAATATTGGAAACAATGATTTAGTGGAAATAAGCTATGTTCACTTTTTTGGTAAAAATCGTAAAGAGATTATTTTCAGGCAAAATATAAGAATCTTTTCGATTTTCTTCGTTCAATTGAAAATAAATATCGATCG